GGAGCGGCAGCAGGCGCGGTCTCCGACATAGTGGCAGCCGTCGTCCACGAATCAGGGGAAACCACTGGGCCTGGAGCAAGTCGGCGGCCTCGTATTTATAGAGAGGAGCCGCGCGGTGATTGGTGCGTTGCAGCGCCCGCCCCGCTGCACGGCAGAAAGGTCCCTTCTCCCCGCTCATTTTGTGTTTCTTAGGAGTCAAAAAAGCCTGTTTTTATCAGAATTTCTGCCACCGACCCCCCCCCAGTTCGCAGCGGCGTGGAAAAGAAAGACTGCTGTTCCCCTCGGCAAAGTTTCCCTTCGAAGAGGCAAAGGGTGAGTTAAAAAAGAGGCGATAAACCCTGAGTCCTGGACCTGGACAGACCTCGGGAGACAGAAACTTTTGTTTTTCCTTCTAAATAAAATCCGCGACGTGGGCAGCTAAATCTCCAAAGTAATTAATTATTATTCTTTAAAGGGTCTTCTCTCAATCCGAACTGAAAATCAGGGATTTGAATCGGTATTTTAATCGCAAATTGATTTCAAAGAGGAGGAAGTAACACAGGCTCATCTTGAGCACTGAATATGGATTAGAAATTAGCTTCTTTGTCCAAAATCCCGTACCCCTTTCAAAATAATTAAAATAAATTAAATTAGTGCATTATGCAACAAGGCGAGAAGCAGATTAAAGTCCTGCGAAGGGCTGTGTGTGCCCCAGAAGGAGGTGACTTTTTACAGCATAGCAGCTTGTGCTGTGTTGCTCAGTGTGCACAATACAGACATGGTTCCCTAGTGCTCTGCTACAGAAATATTTATTTTCTTAATAAATTAGGTGACCCCAGAACTTAACATGGCCAGTTTTTGTTAACAATTATAAGCAGTGCCGCATCGCTTTATAATTCAGCACTATTTTATTTTGATACGGCTCGACTGGTGAAAAATCTGAGTCATCGTTGTCTAAGGAGACACTGCTGCAGCTGATTTTTCCATACTTCTAGACAATAAAACTTCCTCAAGTTATCAGTTAGGGCTCCCCTTTCACGGCAGGCTGCGAAACATTCCATTTTTTACTGTCCAGCGACTGATTCATTCCTGCGTTGGAAGTAATAGTAAAAAATAACATATCCAACCAATGTATCTGTTACGCTGTAAGGACTGGCTGATTGATAGCAAGAGGGGGAAAGTCTTCACCTGCACTTTACCAAGATCACGCTTAAACAAATTAAAAACAAATGCATTTTAACTCTCAGAGGTTAGAGAATTAAAACAAGTATTCCCCGATATTTTCATTATCGCCTACGACCCCTTGTTTTGCCAAAGGCCTGTTAACTGCTTGTTACCGCTCGCTGTTGTAACTGTCGGTGGTACTAAAATTTTGTGCAACGTTATGATTCAAATACTTTATGTTTTCAAATGGATAATTATTAAAATGCGTTTTTTGAACTTTAACCACTCTTTTTCTTTTGTTTCTATTTCAACATCTTTATGCGGTAATGTTCAGCACTATGTCTAAGGTAGAATCAAAACCGGCAACAGTCCTTTCTACCTCAAATTGCCTGTCCGGCGATGACAAATTACTCTCAAACTCATTCAGCTTTCAGGAGGAAAATGGGCACAGCAGCTCAGACAAAGCCATGAGAAAACTGTATTAAAAATTAATAATTCTGAATGCCTATTGTTATAAAAAAAATTATGTCTGTAGGTCAAAAGGTTAGGGGGGGGGGCAGGGCTGCTTTTACAGGCATCGGTGAGTTACCTCAACCTGGCGCAGGGTTAAGCTGACAGAGGAGCGGCCTGCCGGGGCTGTGGGCTCCTTCTTACAAGAATAGGCAACTTCGTGTCTTTCTCACCCCTACCAGAGCAAAATGATCCCTTTCACCTGGAGCAAGCCTCATTATTTTTAGCACATACTTACCAGCAATTAACATGTTATTTTGTAACGTTTAATTTTTTAAAAAATTAATCATCTCGTTTTCAACAGCAAAGGTGAGAGACAGGTTTGGTGGTTCTTTTTTTTTTTCCTTTGGCTAGGATCTACAGCTCCTTTTACGAGGAAGTGGGTGGCTCTAAAAAGAGCCTTTGGGTTACTTTTGAGGTGGGAACACCCCTCAGGTTTGGTTTATTTGCTTTTCGCCTTGTGGCTGTCGGTCTTCTTGGGCAGCAGCACGGCCTGGATGTTGGGCAGCACGCCGCCCTGCGCGATGGTCACCTTGCCCAGCAGCTTGTTGAGCTCCTCGTCGTTGCGGATGGCCAGCTGCAGGTGGCGGGGGATGATGCGCGTCTTCTTGTTGTCGCGGGCCGCGTTGCCCGCCAGCTCCAGGATCTCGGCCGTCAGGTACTCCAGCACGGCCGCCAGGTACACCGGGGCGCCGGCGCCCACCCGCTCCGCGTAGTTGCCCTTGCGCAGCAGCCGGTGCACGCGGCCCCCGGGGGAGCGCGGGCCGGCCCGC